CCGCGTGTCGTTCGGCTGCCCCCGGGGAGCGCCCGGAGCCGCAGGGAGCGGCGGAGGCTGCGCGGAGGGAGCAGGGCTGCGCCCAGCGCAGGGGAGGCTCCGCCGGGCCCACAAGGGCCGCGGGGAGGGCAGCGCTTCCCTTTTCCAGGGAGAGCCCAGGCCGAGCCCGGCCCAACGGACAGGGCAGCAGCCCCAGGACGAGCTGCAGAGCTCAGCGGGGCTCCTCAGGCAGCGGAACAGGGAGGCAGAGGGCCAGGAGCGAGGCCGGCCATGGCCACAGCTTCTGCTTTTCCTCTTTTCCTGGTTTTCTTTGTGCTTGTTCACCCGGTCCCCAAGGCAGGAGCAGCAGCAGGCGGCACTCGAGGGCGACGCTGGGGCCGGGGGCGGCACTGCCGGGGATCAGGGCAGCAGTGGGAGCATCCGGGGTCCGGCCGGCCCGGAACGAGCGGAGAGAAACAGAGGCAGCAGCAGCCAGGGCTACATTCAGGGAGGGGACCCTCCCTCCCTTCAATAGTGTTTAATCTTCATCTAGCTCAACACAGATCAGTAGTGCAGCAATATAAATACAACCAAGGAAGTTAAAGCCTCTTGGCTTTCATAGCCCCGAAAAGCTGATTAAACAGGTTTCCAGTTTTAATAAATTAACACAAAGAAAGGCAATAAACTGCGTGCCCAGAGCTGGAGGAGCAGCATCCTTCACAGCAGGGAGGCTCGGTGCTGGCCAGGGACAGGGGTGCAGCTCAGAGAAGCAGCACAGTGAGAGGAAGAAGCAGGGACAGGAAAGGGCCACCACACACCTGATTCCTGGAAAAGCCTTTCCCAGAGTCTAGGAGCAGGGAAATGGCGCTGCCGGCGCCGGCAGGAACGGAAGGTTCCCCTTTCCATGGGCCCACGAACGCGCAGGGCGATCGGGCTGCAGCACGAGGCCTCCGGCCCCAGGGGAAGAGCCAACTGCTGGGATTGGAGATATCAACCCCCATTGGCCTGGGATGTGCAAATTATGAGAGGAAAAAAAAAAGAAAAAAAAAGTAAAAAAGAGTCCCTGGCCTAACGAGGATAGAGTTGGTAAGAGCCAGACTCGAGGAGGGCTTGGGGACCCGAGGAGGGTGCTGGGGCCACAGAAGATCTCGCAGATTTGGAACCAAGGGACAGGCCGGGTGCAGGTGCCAGGGTGGGTGTCCCTGCAGGAGAGGGACTCCCAGCCCCGCACACGGCACCACAGGGCAGCTCTGCACAGCCCAACAGGCACCGTGTCCTCAACATTCCCAAGCAGAAACGCCTGGCACGAAGTCAGAACACAAGAGTAGCCTGTGCAAGGCTCCTGGAGCTCAGAGCAAGCTCACAGCACGGCCGGGACCTTCCTCCTCCGAGGAGCTCCCGCGGCCAAGGACCTGGGAGGCCCTGGGCATCCTCCCCTGCTGCAGTCTGAGGTGGGCTAGGAGTGTCCTGCACATTCACAGTTGCTCCAAGTGGTTCTATCCCGCTGCATCCCAGATGCCAGCTCTGTTTTTCCTGACAAATAGTCTGTGGTTCACAGTTGTTCTCCTCCTCCCTTTGATTTCCCTTGACAGTCAAATTCAAGTACAACCAGTTTTAACTGAATTAAAAGAAATCCACAAAGTTATTCTCTCTGAAACAAGTTAGCAGCACAGCCCTAATCAAACTGACCTCCAAGGCCCTTATAAAACAGGGGTAGGAGCAGCCTTCTCTGCCACAGAGCTCCAGCCAGAAGCCTGGGGGAAGCTATAGGATTTCCTCCCTCTGGTTCTTGGCTTTGAGCACCACTTGTCCGTTGCGCAGGGAGCCGTTCTGGCTGCGGAGCAGCTTCCCTTTGTCCCGGTCGGGCCAGGTGAAGATGGCTTCGTCGCTGTCCAGCTCCGACTCCGAGTGCATCAGGCTGGTGTTGTGGAGCTGGGCTTTCTGCCTGCCACTGCCTGCCACCTGGGGACCATGGTAAAAGCAGGTTTAATACTGGTCACCAAAGACACTCTCCCTTTTAGCATCACTCTCCCTTTAAGCATCATTCTTTTAACATGTCAAAGGGGCTTCCCTGGATCTGTCACTTAATCCCTCAGTGTGGAAGGCAAAGGGATCTTGTTTAACCTAACCTGGCATGAGAGAGGTCACACAGACATTCTGAGACACTGCAAAGCTGGTGTGACACAGGTTGTGTCACACAAATTGTGTCACCAAAAGAGGCTGTAAGAATATGTGAAATCCTTGCCTGCCTGACTTTGCCTGGGGCATTGCCTAGAAAGCTCGCTGAGGGCAAAAGCACCTGCGGGTGTGAGAAAAAATCAGTTTCTTACTATCCTCCCTACTCATCTCAACTTCTCTTGCCTGCAAGGGAAGATAAATGAGTGGGCTGAAGTTAGATTAAGGCACAAGGAGGAAGGAGAGATATTTACTGATACTGTCAGCAGAGACAGTATTTTAATTTAGCTTTTCCTTAATGGAGGGATGCAGTATTTCCTCTCCAGTAGGATGCTCCCTGGACACACGTAACAGGAAAGACATCAGCCAGAGCCAAGCTCAGAAGCAGCCAGACCAGTTCAGTTACCAAGAGAGCAAATGGCTGAGGCACATCTGCTACCGATGGCCCAACAATGAGCCCTTTATTTAACAGTGAGATTCTTCTGTGTGAGCTGACAAATGGTCGCATTAAAGCAGAGTTAGGTGCTAAGGAAGCAAAAAGCACCCACTCTTCAAGGGGATCTGAATTTGTGCAGTTGGGACGCCTGATTCTCAGGAATGATCTGATCAGCTCTGGTGCTGCAATGCCCTCCACTGCTGTGCTTAGGCACTGCTCACTGTGCTGGAACAAATTAAACAGGATAAAACTAGGATGAGCAACTACTTTTCACGAGCAAACAAGGATTTGAGACTACTTTCCATGCACTGTTGAAAAAGACTGTCCTCTTAACAGGATAAATACTCTTATGTGAAATGACTATTTCAACAGCTGAAATGCTGCACAGCGTTTTGTGGCCCTGTTCTGCACACACTTTCCCACTCTCCCTTGCTCCTCTGAGACTTGTCTGGCAGTGCCTAACATTAAGTTTGTTTCAGTCTGTGATTTTAAATCCACTGAGGAGCAGTGTTCTTAGTCAGCATTCAGGAAAGGCTGAGCTCTCACCTGCTTTGGGATTTGGTTTTAACTCCAGGCTTTCTTGATCCGTTGCATCCAAAATCTTGTATTTGCTTTTTCTTTTAGATTTTCCTTTTCGTCTAAAGGGGAAGGAAAGGAATCAAGATCCAGACCATTTCTAAACTAGCCAGAAGAAAAACTCTGATCTTAAAAGCTACAGTACTACTATCTTATTCCAGATTACGTTCATGTAAGAAAGCAATATACTTAGAAATATTGCTTAATTGGCACATTTATAGGCAAATCTTGCTTCTGAACTGAAACTAGAGTTCTAGGACCTTCTTGCTTCACTTGAAATACCAAGGGACAAAAACTAACACACAGGGCTAAGGAGATGACCTGCTAGGACTATGGGCTTGAATCTTCTCCACCTCCTGCTACAGCCCCTTGTTGAAGCACTTGTACAGTGCGGGTTACGGGCTCAGTCCCACCTCTTACAACAGCAGATCACCATCCAGGAGAAGATTCCAAAGGCAACCACAATGACGAAAGATGCAATGATCACATACAGCACACTCCATTCTGAAAGCAAAACACCCCAGAGATAAAGACATTTTGGTACCTCATACAGTTGACGGTGTGGACTTTAGATGAAACAAAGAAAGGGATGACCCTTTGCTGAATTCTAGAGCCTACCATCCCTCACTGACAGCACCACCAACTCCCCTAGAGAAGTCAGAGGGCTGAGTCTCAGTGCCCAGATTTCTTGTACAAACCTCTTTCCTTAGGGCATTTCTGACAGTGTGTGTTGATTTACAAAGTTTGCTTTTCTGCAACAAGAAGGTCGCAGTAGGGGGCATGACAGAAAAGAGGTTCACTTTCTACATCAGGAACAGACTCGACTCTTCAGTAAGTGTTCACCAAGAGGTTCTGAAGAGTCTCTTCCCTACCAAAGAGGTACAATCAGTGAGATCTAGACTGGGACTAGCTCCTTATTCAAATATGATGCCAGAGATGCCGGATGAAAGCGGGTTCTGTTCTTGAGCCTACCCTGGGGTTCAGGCACTCTTTGCTTCCTAAAGAGGAGCAGCCCCAGCAGCCTGCACGTACCACAGTTGCTTTCACCATCGCCCATCTGCACCTTGATGAAGTTCTCCATCCAGAAGGGGTCACAGATGCAGCGCTTGGTGAAGGAGTCGCAGCGCCCGTGCTCAGAGCAGTTCAGCTGACATGCTAGGGACCAAAACCAGCAAGGTGAAGCCCGTGACTGATGTGCAAGGTCAATCCAATACTTATTTAATAATTTGGCATGTTTTATACCTCCCACTTAGAGGACTAGGGCAGCACATGGGCAAAACAAGGCAACTTGTAGCTCCCACCCCACATTCTGGAAGACTTGAGAAAAAAAGCCAAAGAAAAGACAGGAAACAAACAATGAGCATGTTGTGCCTCGCACAAAGCTGGAACAGGAAAACTGCCTAATAAATAATGATTTGGGTATCTTGCAAGTATCTGGGGAAGGTGGAGCAGATGTTAGGCCACACGCTCTTACTTACTGACTGTGTTAATTTCTAACGCCCGAAAAATGAGGAAGTCTGACTGCTGCTTCCGGAGCTCGTTCTTGAGGGTCCACGCGACCTCACGGCCCTTGAATATCTGATGGGGAGGCTGGTTCTTTACAAAGAAGACCATCTTCGTGCTGGAAGTCAGACACAGAAACTGCTCTACCTGCTGCTTCACCAAACATCAGGCAGAAAGCCATTTCCTCCCCCTCCATCTGCCCTTACAGAGGAACTTACCTGAAACCCCAAATTTATCTGAAGCCCAGACATACAGAAATATCAACCCTGGCTGCGTCTTGAGAGCAATAATGGTACTGATTTGGTCATACAGTAGAAACCCATTAGGGCACAGGATAAACACGTATTTTGGCTGAGACAGAACCCCCTTCCTGCCTCACTCAGTGGAAGGATGGGGGCAACTAGTCTGGCCATGGCCAAGATGAAAAGCCAATACTAAAGCAAAAAGCCCTGGCTCTTCTGTTCTGAACTCTTGCCTAACTTTGCCACAGACAATGAACTCTGATTTTACGGTTACAGTAGCCACATGGACACAGAGGAATCAATACACAACTGAAGGCAGGAAAATCTCAAGTCTAATTACAGATTTATTGCTGACTTGCTACATGACTTTAAGCAAATCATTTCAGAGCTTCATGTACTTTAAGCAGCTCCATCTTTAGTAAAAATTAAGCGCATTACTGCACACACACGCCTTACCTTTGTTCAGTGTATGGCTGAATCTTCTGCACAGTAATGTCCGAGTCGAGGACCCCCAGCAGAACTCCTATTTGCCGGATGAACATTCCCTTCTGCCTCTCAGTCAGCTGGCTGACATTAACATCCAGAATAATCTCCACAAGGTTATTTTTTCTAGGATCTAGGGAGAACACAGACAGATCTTTAGAACTGTATTTGACAGCATGAGTAAAAGCCAGGTCTCTTACCTTTCCCAAATGCTTCCTCTTTGAACAAAAATCTACAGCATCTCACTCCAATAGGGGATACAGAACTAAGATCTTTATTTGGCCCCTCAAAATTGTATGAGGTTACAGCCATTTCCCCAGATGGTTTTGACTATTTACGTGCCCGAGCTGGAGTACACACATTGTCACAGCACAGTGTGTCCAGAAAGAGGGGCCTCACTAATGCACTGCAGACAAACATGAAGTACAATGACCAAATACACCCACCGGGTTTGACTTCCACTGTGGTCCTTTCCACATCACTCTCCCCTTTGGCATCTGTTACTCTGAGATGGAATGTGTAGGTCCCTTCCACCAGGTTGGAGAGGAGGAGGACAGGGTGATGGTCCGAATTGTTCAAGACTTCCTGGGAGGTACAGCAAAATAAATATCAGGAAACGGAGCATCAAGCTAGCATGACATTGCCATCATATTTAAAGACACAGTTAAAAGGGTAACAGGTGAAAATGATAAGCTGCACATTGCCTCAGGAGCTACCTGTCAAAGCCAGTCCTCACCAACTCTTTCATATTGCTGAAGTATCACAAATTCATTAATAGCAAATTCATTAACAGCAATAACCTCACCCCAGCTGCAGGGCTCCCCTCATCCCGGGTCCACAAGTAGCTGATAATTCCCTTATCATCAGAAGATTTTGATCCATCCAATTCAGCTGTGTTTGTTGGCAGGGTGATGACAACATTTCCAGCAATCTTTGCAACTGGTGGCTTGTTTATCTCTAACCAAACAGAAAAAAATTACATGGTGGAAAATATATTAATGCCCAAGGAAGAACTATGGTACTAAATTGCTACTGTAAGCCATAAATCCCAATCTAAATCTGGGAAAGAGAAAGGAAATTAAGTGCTGTGGGATTCAGTTCAAGATACTGTTCCTGCAGATAAGGCAAACCCTGGGCATAGAGCAGACCGTTTCAGTGGTCTCCACCTTATCTTCCCCGTGTTCTTTACCCTCATGCCGCTCTGAACACAGGTTTGTGACCGGCTCGCGGGGACACCTGGGTCTCCCCCGGTGCTGCGGGCGGTTCAGAGCACACCTGGACTTACCTTCCTTGACGATCACGTTGACTGAGCTTTGGCTCTGCAAGTTCCTCTCGTCTTTAACTGTCAGAGTAAATTCGTACGTTCCAACTTGGAGGCCTGTTACAGTGGCAACACTGCTGTTAGCATTCTCCAGCTTGACACCGTCTGGGCCCCTAACCAAAGCACAAAGTACCATTTAAACCTTACATCACTCACTGGAAATGCCTAGTACCAAACAGGAGGCTCTAACAGAGTTTATGCTAGGCAAGCAGGCAACTGTATTGTCCAGAACCAAAAGCGAGATGTGATGCTTGCACAAGATGATACACACCGTGTTTTTTCCCAGAGAAAGGAGACTATTTTCTGGTCATCTGAGCTCTTGCTGCCATCTAGAGTGGTGCTGTCCACAGGAAGAGTCAGTTCTTTATCTGGACCAGCATCTGCCTTTGGGGGCTTGTTGTTCTCTGGAAAAGGATTGCAGTATTTTTCATACATATGCTATAAAGGTGAAGCTCACTCCCCGCAGCATTAAGAAGTTTCTCCATGTTCCTAGCCTATGCTCCCTAGCTTATTTCTTGCCCATTATCTTGATCTTGTACTCAGGGAAACTGAAGTAAAAAGCAGCTCTGCATTCACACATCTGCATTAATATGCATGAATCACAGAATCACAGAATGCTTAAGGTTGTAAAGGACCTCTGAAACTCAAGAATCTTGATTTTTCGGTATCATTTTTCCTGCTCCTGCTCCTTAGC